ATGCATCATTAAAAATAAAGTATTTGGTAAATAAAAAATTTCTTCGGATTACACGGGGACGGGTCGGGGCCCGTCACAAAAATGGCGGATCGGGCGGGCCGGTCCAAGAAGCTGCCTGTGCGGGGTACGGACGGAGCGGGTATAGATTTGCCGGGGCATAGACGGGGCGGGGATTCTCGAAAAGAATAACCACGGGGTTCGGACGGGACGGGTTTGTGAATTTTACGGGGCGGGCCCCGCGGGGGATGGAAAATCAATGCCCCGCACATCTCTGATATGAATATGTTTCTGAACGAATCTCAATTTATATTTTCCTGAATCTTAATAGTGATGATTTTCTATTTCAATAAGATCTTAGTTGAAAAAATTGCAAGAAAGCCAGAAAACAATATCTTACTTTGACGTCGCAAAAACGGATTCGACAACAAAAAATCGAGTAATAAATGCAATTAAATAACAAATGATGCCTGCTAGGTCTAGCCAATTCCAACCGCTGGAAAAATATGTATGAATCCATGCTTTAGATCTAATAATCTAATAATGAAGAAAAACAAATTGTAGGAAAATAGCATATCTATTTCATAGAGAAAAAATACTCACCTGATCGATTTCATCAACGATGAAGTTTAACATATAAATGTGTAAGATGATTTCCGAAATTGGAATTGGAAGATTTCAAATTCCGGAGCGCTCACCGTCGTCTCGATTTAATGGAAGATAGTTGACAAGAAGAACATAACTGAATAAAACCAGGAATAGGAAGAAGAAAGCCTAAATTTGAAATGCAACAACAATATATTCAAAAATGTATCACAGAGTAAGAGAGGGAGGACACTTACAACATGATAGTAAAATCGTACTATTGGTGCTTCGTAAAACCATTTAATTCTCTTCCCAACATGACACTGTGAAGAATCTGATTTTTCTTTGCAATTCTGAGAAGAACTCCCGTCCCTGCTCATCGAAACAGACCTTCCTGGAGCCATCTGATTTGTCGATCTGTAAAAGGTAAATCGAAATTGAAAATGAAAATAAAAGCCATAGAAAAAATTGCGACTAACATCAGTTCCAAGGGCAGTATTGGACGACATTGAATTGCCTTATTGGTTTCCTACATGAGAGCAGAATATACAAGAATGATTCACGAAGTATTGTTTTTATCTGTCATACTTTTGACTTGGCAGAATTTTTCTTGTAGAGTGAAGGACAAAGCACAGATGCAATCGGTAAGAGAGGCAAAAACAACGATGCCAGACACATCTAAATAAAGTATCGAGTGGATAATGAGGGTATTCAACAAATATAATTGGCAAACCGAAAAAGAAATATCCATTTTTAGTAAATGGCATTGATTATCGAATTGATGATACCACTTGTCATCGGTATATTTTTGGACAGTATCACTGGCGAGAAAAGCTTTACAATTAGCACGTTTTGCTATATCCAACGGACTGCAACTGTCGAATGCCACAGCTTTACTGTTGATTATACTGATAGCAAGCTCATTGTCTTTAGTGAAACACTCGTCTATGATCTCTTTCGTATGTTCATCGAACTCACTGTTTTCATCAATGAGTAAATAAAACATGCATGCAACACAACGTATCAAAGAAACGAAAATATGTTTGACTCACTTTGCAGTTTGTATTAACTTATCTTTGTTTTCAGTGGCCTTCTCTGCGGCCTTCGAATAAATCACGACTGCGAGAAGAGCGGCAACCGTCTGATTCTAATAGTGAACATACCGCATAGATAAGAAGAAAATTCGGTGCTAAAACATATTGAACATGAACGTAGTATACGTCTTACCTGACATATTGAACAAAGAAATTCGGCCATCTTTGGTCGATTCATGAATAAAAACCACAGATAAAGTTTTTCGATCTTGTGTTCGCCAAATAGCTGTTTCGTTTCAGGAGGAGTCTGACCCGATAGACATATGATTGCTTGGATTCTTTGTAGATTTTCTTTCTTTATAATCTAAAGCATCGACTCAACCAATGTATAAAGTGCCAACATTCGCTGATATTAAATGCTTACGTAGTCTTTTAAATATTGATTGCAATAAGCCGAATATATTTTTTCTACAAATTCCGAAGAACTCCTATTGATACCTTCATTAGTATCTATAGTCTCGTCAAGAGGTAATGCATTGGTATTCTTAATAGACAATTAGTGCAGATTTAATGACAAAACGTAGAAATATGTTCAGATTTCCAAAAACAAATATGTTTCTGAAATTTGGTAAGTTTCCGCTTTTAGAAAGACAATTATAATAGGATAATAACAGTAGTTACTGAAATTAATAACAAGTGCCTTCAGAATTTTCATCTAAAATCAGCAGTAAACTTAGAAAACTCAGAAACATGAAAACCTCACTTAAAAATATCAAAAGCACTGCTGTAGGTACAAATGAAGAATATAATAATCGTTAAAATTTAGTTTTCATGATTAGCTAACTTCAACAGTTACCAACAATCGAAAGCATCAACTTTAGGAAATGTTCAAAATTTCTTTATGCTATAATGGCAAGAGCCTCTACAATCCGAAGTTTACCATACAACAAAATGAAGTACAAAAATTCCTAACCACGTCAATCCAATGATATTTCCAAAATTACGGTCGAACTCAGGATACTCTTTCTTCTTTTATCAGTCTTCACTCATTTCATTATCGTATGTATATGTATACGTATATGGATCATAAAAACTTTTGAAACGGTTTGTGTATTACTCAAACTTTGTGTTAGAGAATTTCGGAAACTTTGTTTCTTGAGAAATCTGAACATTGCTGAAAAGCATTATGGAATCATATGTAAAGATCAACCTACCAGTATTCTTGCACAAAGCATTTTGAGTTTTTTTGGTTTTAATTGTTCTACGTGGAGATCTTTCATTGATGCACCATTCTCCATAAGCAAATGCACGAAAGATACATTGTTTCGACACAAGGCTTCAAAGAGTGCTGCCGACGCTATTTTTTTTATCTAACAAAAAAATTTTATAGTAGACAACAGAGTTGAAGGTCGATGATGAGCACACAAATAGGAGTTCGGTTTCAAAAGTATTAAATAACAAATTTCAGTATTCAAGGACTCTCCAAAGCAGATTTTTAGCTATGAATATCTCTCTTCACTAAAAGTAGTCTGTAAGACTTTATTGCATTTGTTTGTATCAAGTTTCACAGTTACACTTATCAATTTGGTTGAAACTTGATGACATATAGTAAAGCTTTCCGTGATGAATACTTCGCGATCAAAGGGAGTGATTTCTGACACAATTCAACCTTTCCGTAGTGACAAATTTCATAAGGTCAATATTTTTACACGATCACACTGAAGCAAATACTCCTCTAATGAAAACTACTTGAGAATGTGAAGAAAATTTCGCGTACTGTTTAATCGAACATCATGCAGTATAGTGAACTTTCTTTTTATCGATTAGGTATGCAATTAACAGAAAAAAGACAGTCGCTAAGTTAAATAGAGTAAAATTTATCATGGTGGATAATGGAAGCATTTTCATGAACTGATTCACATAAAAACTTTTTTAAGGTAGAAAGTATCAAGCTACTAAAAGATTTTTTAAAATTATCTTTATAATCAGCAGTGATAAAAATAGCTCGTATATTTTTGCATTTTTCTATAGTCTTCTGAATAAATATTTTTATAGGTGAATTCATATTAAAATTCTTTACTATTCAGTTAACTTTGACATGAAAAATGAAAAAATACGGGACACGAGAAAACAATGAGCTCCAGATGATATCATCAATCACAGGAACGATTTAGATCATTAAAAAATATATTCTCTTTCAATACAACAGCGCGTTTCCAACCGTCTGATACCTCTATAATAGATGCCCCTGTACAATGAAAAATTTTTAAAAGACCAAATATGATCCTCTTCAAAGAGGTTTTACTACATTTTCAGATTTCTTCTCTGACAAAATTTAACTAATCATAGAAAAATAGAAATAATTGATCACTTTTCTCTATATGGCAGTTCAATTTGACTCATCGAAATATATATTACGAATTCAGTTTTTTAAAATACGTATCGAAACTTCAATCGATTTTGTGAAACTCATCCAGATTCTGCTCATTTATGCAAATTGATTGGGCATGATTTCGTTGAACTATATAGTGCACTCACAAATTCTTGTTTTTCTAGTGAAGATGTTATATGTTCAAATACATAATCAGCGAACACATTCTGCCTTGCATGATCAACTTTATTCCAGATCTAAAAAAAATTTAAGTAAGACATTAAGTATTCCTTTTTCACTAGATTCAAACAGAAAATCTTACCAGACACCATGTCAATTCCGTTGCAAGCGATGAACCATCGGAACTGTCGTATTTTTCACGTAGAAAATGTATTCTCTTTCGCATTGCATCAGCAATCGTATCTTCCAAGTTGCCGGTGACTCCCATGGGATTAAATACCACAATGAGTTTACTACTGCGGGCTAGGACGCCTATGAATTTCTCAATATCGTGATCATTTTTCTTTGTCTCATCTTCCTTTGTCTTATCTTCCTGTGTCTCATCTTCCTCGCTCTCGTCCTCCTCCCTCTCACCTTCCTTTGTCTGATCTTCCTTTATCTCATCTTTCTTTGTCTCATCTTCCTTTGTCTTATCTTCCTCTGTCTCATCTTCCTCGCTCTCGTCCTCCTCCCTCTCAACTTCCTTTGTCTGATCTTCCTTTATCTCATCTTCCTTTGTATGATCTTCCTTTATCTCAGCTTCCTTTATCTCATCTTCCTTTACCTCATCTTCCTCGCTCTCATCTTCCTCGCTCTCATCTTCCTCTCTCTCATCTCCCTCTGTCTCATCCTCCTCGCTCCCATCTTCCTCGCTCTCATCTTTCTTTCCCTTCTTTTCTCCTTGAATTCCCGATATCCATGAATCTATACTTAAATAATAGGAATAACTGTCTTTCCATCCCTTGAGATCAAATTTCTCTTTTCCGCGGTTTTCATTAGAGAATTCGGTGACATTCTCAACGATTTCAATGATAACGTCAGCAAGTTGGCCAGTTCCCTACAAGAAACAAGTTTATTACACAGAAAAATCATGAAATAATTGACACTTGATTATCACTGCCTAACAAAAATAGAGCTATGACATGTGTTCTGTATGTAATATCGTTCCACCATCAGTTTGTACAACATACAGAAAGTAATTAAATTCATGGGTGTACACCACATTTAGGCAAAGGAGTTCAAGTTTTTATTTTAGTCACCTAATTCATTCAAGTACAGTTTGAAAATTGTTCAAAATATAAATGATGTACACTTGTCTGATAAAGCTTAAAGGTGATCAAAATATGAGCTACATACATGCGTGTAGTATGTTCATGGAAAATTCGAATGTATCCAACAATAAAAACCTAACATTAGTATACTAACTATGCACATTCCTTATAGTTCAACGTTTTTCGAAACCTTTTACTTTAAATCTAAATTCTGTATACGGCTTGCGAATCCAAGAGAACATAAAGAAAACATTATTGTTTAAATTTTTTCAGCAAAATGATTGAAACTGAAGACATCGGATGATTTTCAAAGTACGAGTACGACTCGTTAGAGACACTATTTTGTTCAACAAGCATTATGAAATGTCTTTACTTAGAGGAAATCGGTACATTCGAAGGCGTTTGAGAATAAATGGAAACATAACATTTGTGTATTTGTATAATTTACAAATGATTCTAGCAAGTATTTTTGTCAATGAAAGAGTCAAACTAGAAAATTTTTAAAATTCGATTTGAGACAGAGAAGAGGTATTCATTGTCAGCGAGAAAAGATCATTCAAAGGTGTTTAGGATACAACTAGCAACAAACTTTGAATGCATCCAAAAGACCTACTGGTAAAGAGGACCTACAGATCACTTTTATGCTTATGATATATAGGGCGTTTCATGTATTTTGAACATCAACAAAATTACTTTAAATGCACCTAGAAAATGATATCGAACCGAACGTACCCATAGAGATTTGACTACGGCTGCTAATATTTCAAATCAGATAATATTGTATTACACCTTGTCTTATGATGTTAGTACCATAGACATGAGAATGTGATGATCAAATTTTCGATATCGGTTAGCAGCATTTTGTTTAAATTATGACTTAGAATACCAAAACATATAATAGGTATCAATCAATAGATGTCCTAATCATTTATTTGAGATTTTCCAAGAATTACTGAACATATGATCAAGCAAACTATATACTGAATAAGGGAATCAAAATGAACCCACCTCTCTTCCGCTATAATAAGAGACCACCATAATGGAAGTCTCCTTTTGAAAAAAAGTTTGTCCCATGAAGTAGAAGACCTTCTATTTAATTAATAATTTTTTGAAAATTCAGAACTTTAATTAGTGGCTTTATACCTAAATATGTCTATTTTGGAGGTTCTGAGCTAAAAATTTCAAACGGACGAGTTCAATTCTGTATCAGAGCTTTGAAAATTGTGAAAATTTGTTTTCAGATCTTCAAGATCGCTTCCATTCTGTGAGAGATTCCTTTTAATTAAGAAACTTATCAGTGTAGCACATGAGAGACGAAAAGGTGGAATCCATGAGACTCAGACTATTCTAAATTTACAGTATATTGTCAAAAAAAAATTGAAAAACTTTGTTTTCACAAACTATCAAATAAATTTCTAAGTTAAAATTAATTTTATCATCTGAGTTAAAATATACGTTTGAAAACTTTATCACAATGAAACACATGTATTTCAAACTATTTCCTTTGTCCCTACTCCATTTATTAATATCTTTATAATATTAATACAAAAGATGCAAAATGCTGAATTTCTAAAGAAATATTGTCAATAATGATTAGTTTGTAACAATTTCTATTTGTACACTACAAACAGATTTTTCTTTCTAATGCGTACTGTTTTTTTCTGGTTGCTATTCGCAATGTATTACTCATTTTTCAATCGAAATTTCATTATTTCATAGTACTTGATTCAAACTTTAATTTGTTGAAAAAATAGGTTTACTATAGACATCTATTATATCTTTCACAGATCTTCACAATCTTTTGTAAATCTCAATGCACTAAGTAAGACAGAAACTAAATATTTCTGACCGTTAGAAAGTACATCGAACATGCTTTTCTCTTAGTCATACCAAGGTTATGGAAAATCAAAAGATTATCTGTCAAATGGATCGTATAATCTTTATATGTGCAAAAAAGGAGATTAATTTTTTGCGAATATTCATAAAAATATTCGAACGATTGAGATATAAAAGCAGATTCTAGAAGTTTCTAGCACCTTTTAAACCAAAGTGGTTATATAATAGAGAAGAGACAGACGAGCTGAAGAGCTTTGACTAAAACTAACATTCACTATTATTTTCATCAGAACTATAAGGAAACTCCACAAAATTTAAATACTTAATATTTAGATCAGGTATTATAATTTCCAAAGTTTTGAAATTGTATAACCGTGGAGGTTAATTACGCACAATTTCTTATGGCTATGGTAGAGGATGCATTGGAGGCTTTGTGAAACTTCATCTTAAAACTCATACTCACTATTTTCTTTGAAAATATATGTGAGTTCAATAAAATTGTTAAAATATGAAAGACATAAAACAGGTCTCCCCTAAAAGATTTTTTTGTTTAAACATAATAGAAGACCCTAAGTCTTTTATTGCATGAGAGGCGAAGCGGATAGAACGTATAAGTACACTGCACAGAACGAAAATCAAGAAAATAAACATTATGTTACAAATTATTGCTGAATTATTTAGTGCTCGAACTTTCCGTCGAGATAATGATGATGACGATGAAAAATTTGCAGATGTATGGTTTGTTAACAAAGAACGGATCAAAATGGTTAGTGATGATTATAAGAGAAAGATTGACAAAGTTCTTTAAAAACAGTGTGGAATAATGGAAAATGCTAATTTTTTTTCTTCGTGTAAATAGTTTTAAGATAATTCTTGCAGGACTAAAATATGAAAAACGACAAAGCCATTTAACTAACATGAAACAAGTTAGCCGCCACGTCGGTTACAGTTTGTGACGAGAAAAAACTCAGCATGTCGAAAAATTCACCCAATTGTTACAGAATATGACAGAACTAAGAGAACTCTATGGATCTGTCATACATTGCAATAAATATCTTGATTTGTCTCTATCACAATCTGTAGGATAGGCTTGAGAGAAAAGGAAATGATGAGTTCACTTTTTTTTCGCTGTATACTCCAGCACTCACTGACAACTATGTTTTGAAATGTTTTTGAACAATTTCAAACAACTGATCATCATAACTTGAGGTTTATGTCATTATCATCTCAAGACACTGTGTCAGAGAATATTATATCACTTCAAGCATCGATACAAATATTCGCATCTCATATAAATACTTTCCAATATATTTTAGTTCTTTGTATCTATATATATTTATACTGTTGAAGGTCAAAACTTTCGAAACTCCGATTATTGTCGAACAATTCGAGTACAGTACGCTCTATAAAATAGAGGTATTTTGTTCGAAACTTCTCGATCTGTTTTCTATACAGATGTTAAAGTTGACTTGAACAAAAACAGAATTTGAATTTGTTTAGTATGAGTTCCTAAGAAACAAGAATATTCGCGTAATAAGTATCGGAAGAAGTGTATAGAAAATCTTTGAAAGTGGCAACGTAAGAAGTTTAATCACTAACTCGTGCGAAAATCTATGAAAAATTTGTCAAAAAGATCGAAAATAAAAATGTTCATGTTTTCGATTTGATTGTTTTTTGCATTAGCATTTCAATTCAATTCCACATGAGCTCAACCCTCATAATTTCATGATGGAGAAAATACTCTACAAGTTCTTTTGGCAGTTTTCACGGGAGTACTTTCGAATTTTGGAAAGCGATGCAATACTGATTCAATATCATTGCCTGATTAGCTGGGATGTTAGTAAAAACTTCCTCTTGTCAATTATGTAACCTTGTCAAAAGAAAAGCGACCATTCGTGAAAAATATCCGATTATATGTGACCTAGAGTGTCCCATAACATATATAAAGTCGGAGTTTCACTCTCATCAGTTGCTCGACATAAACTAAAAGGTGGAGCCAGTAGTACAGATTATAAAACATTGTCATTTCTGAAAGAGATAATGACAAACATGAAATAAACTGGGACTTCGTTTTGATTTTCCTTTTTTTGTATCTGTCTGTTCTACAGTTTGAAGCCTTTTTCATTCACGTGAGATACTCATTGACCTAAGTTCATACCCGAACAACAACGACTGGTGTGCCTGTCTTCAAGTAACGACAGAGTGCACGCAGTGTTGTAAAGTTGCCGCCGAATAGTAATACAACTATTGGAATATGATTGTCAAATCCTGAAAAAAATACCATAGGAAAGCTGTAAAGATTGTTGGGAAGCAATTTGTTTATTCAAACCATTCCGTTTAT